GTGTTTGGTTTTTATTCCCCCCGTCTGCTGGGTGGTTGCAGCAGGTTTTGGTCACTTCACATGACCCTGGGACACTGTGACCGTCATAAATATGAATCAGTTGCCAAGCATCTGAATGTAAATCACAAGACCCTGGAGATGCTGCAACATTCCAGCTGATCGGCGCTTCTTCTGGGCTCAGCGGAAGCACCAGGATCAGTGCTGAGCTCCACCTGGATCCTGGCGCTGATCCTGGCGCTTCCGCTGAGCCCTGACAGCCCTGCAGCTACAGCCATCTATCGCTTAGGCTTGTGCGGTGCTGCTACCGGTTCAGCTCATTTCCCTCCCCCACTACCACTTTTCTAGGATGGCCGCGTACCACCTGCCAGGTGCCAATGTACCACAGGTGGTACTCGTACCACTGGTTGAAAAGCCCTGCTATAAACCACGACAGGATAAATTACTCTTGCCTAGTGACGTGGAGTAACTGGGTGAAAACTGCAACCAAAATTTGACAGCAAACCACCACAGAGTTTTTACCTGAATCATGAAGCCATTTTCCTCATCCATTTCGCAGATACACCTGACTATTTCGTTCAAAGCGTCCTCTTCGTCCTGGGACTCTTCAAAGTTGGTCGAATCAAAATCCTGATTATATTCATCGCCACTCAACAGCAAGCTCTCGGTGGAAGAGTCATCCAGAAACTCCATATCAGAAAGGTCTGCAATATGATTTGGGAGGGGGTTGAATGAAGAGGTGTAAAAATGTAAAATAAGGCCTTTACCAATGATATATAAAATAAAAGAAGGGCTAGGGATGATGTGATAGCAGCGTTCCAACATTTGGGAGGCTGTCTTAAAGAAGAAAGGGACAACCTATTTGCAAAGCACCTGAAGGCAAGACAAGGGTCAAACCTTCAAACGATCCTGGCCACAGCCATCTTTGGCTCGTTTTTCGGTTGCCACGGCGATGGGAGGAGGGAGATGTGTTCTTTTAGCTTGGTCATAACAAATACTTTCTTGTGGGAACCAAGGTCATGCTACCTAAGTTTGGGCGGGCTGGAGTTTCCGTTAGAAAGCCTGCCAAAGTAGATAATTGGGGATTGTGATTTGTGACATATTATAGGAGTGGGCAATAGAAGAAGATGATGGAGGGCAATAGAAGAAGGGGACGACAGAGAATGAGGTGGCTGGATGGAGTCACTGAAGCAGTAAGTGTGAGCTTAAATGGACTCCAGAAGATGGTAGAGCAGACAGGTCAAACACAAGGCCCGGGGGCCGGATGCAGCCCGCGAAGTGGTTTCATGTGGCCCGCGAAGCCATCCTGGAAACAGTGAGGGAACGGCCAATGTACAGTTTTGTGGTGGCCATCTATGCTGAAACGCATTCAGTCTTAGCTCTACAAGGCCGTCTAGAAACAGTGAGGAACCATAAAAGGGCCAAGTTTGAAAGACCCCTGGATTAAATTAACAGGAAAATGGAATGTCAGTTTAAAGAGTATCACAGAGTATAAAGCAGACCTACTTTCACCGCTGAGATCGACAGATAAAATAGCCCTCGGGTACTGATAGGACGTGCTCTTCTCGGTTGTTGTGCTGCGGAGCGTCAGCGAGCTGCCAGAAGACCGAGTGAAGGGGGAGGAGCACCTATCGAAGTAGTCAAGAGAGCTATCCTCAAAGTCAGAGTAATCTGCAAAGGAAATCACAAGGGTGCAGCTGTAGAGGATCGTATACAGAACAAATGCAACTTTACATGTTTCAAACCTGAATGTTCAAATGCCTGAGATATTGCATCCGTTGGCTTTGAAGTTAATTTATCAATATAGGGCAGAAAGTCACTAGCTTCCCACTAACTGGCAACACAGATCGTGATAGGCTAAACCAGGATTAGGCAACCTTGGCTCTTT